TTTACTTTCTGTGGCGTTTACGCTCTATGTCCCGCACTAGAAGTCGGTACCGCTTCACATACTGTACAAGGACCAAATCACCTGCAAGTCCTCGGCAGCTACCCGCTTCCCGCACTCAGTCTCACCACCCAGTAGCCCACCGTTACCCGCTACGTTCACTGAAGGCATGAAATGCTCATCTCCCAATGTGCACATTTTTTGAAAGTGGTATCATACTTCATCATGATTTGTCAGCTTGCAAACATTTTCCTTGGAATATGCCGGGCTCCCCTGTGCTTCCTAATTCCGTACTTTGCAGGCAAACACAATAGGTGGAACCGATGGCAGGCAAACTGCTTTGGTTTTAACTTTTGTCCAGTTACCCAGAAGAGAGGTGTGGACTTGTTTACTTGGTTTGCATTCAGGAACATTCTTTGTCTTCCAGAGCACCCATGAGAAAAGTTCCGGTCTTGGAACACGAAGCTCTGCACCGTGATTTACCCCCTGGAGTAATTAGATTGACTGACCGAGCTCTGGGAGGAAAGGCCTCCTGGGTTGCCCGGCTGCAGGGACAGGCAATAGCCTGAGAGAACAATTGTTTCGGCGGGGGACAGTCTCCTTCCTATCAGTTCCAGAAGGGGAAGTGGCTGGACCTGCCCCTTGCTCTGGCCTGGGCGGGCGCGGGGCGGGGGGGGGGGCGGGGGGGGTGTGTGTGTGATAACCCAGCGCGAGGACCCGGCCCTGTGAGTATGTCGATTTTGACCACTGGCAGGCCCGCCTCTGTGACTCAGAGAAGCCTGATGTGTCTCAGATACTTTGATCTCAAAATTAATCAGAAATTGGAAGCAACCAGAGACAGAAAGGGGCGATCCAGTAAGCAGATTGTGGGAGGGCTGTACAGTTGGAAAGGAGCTCCTGGTATTGTGGTGAGTGAGGACAAAGGTTTCCGAGAACTGTGGGATCCCATTGACACGAAGTCCCAAATCAGACAAAAGTCACTCTGCGGTGACAAGAGGTCAGAAAACCGGTTATTCTGGGGAGGGAGGGCGCTTGCGGGACCTGATCCTTATCTTTACCTTCTCAGGACAGTTCATCAGTGTGTGCAAACGTGAAAACACGCCTCGAGTTTGGGCTCTTGGCTGTGTGTGAAGGATCGCTGCATAGAAAAGGAAGCATACTGTGTGCAAATGGTGTGATTTCATCTGTGAAGGTCATGGACAGGAACCCTAGGCTGTGGTGTAGAAGAAGAGGTTCCCTCTGGGACGTGGGCGACCGGGAAGAGGGTGAGGGGCCCCTGGGGGGTGGTCATGGGAGAGCTCTTGGCTGGGGCCGTGGTCACACAGGTGCATCTCTTTGAGATATCCACCCATTTGCTGAGGATCTGTCATTTTGCTTGAATGCTATACTTCAATAAAAGATTACTTAAAAATATGATGTACAGTATGGTCCTGTTTTCTCCATTGAAAACATATGTGCAGGGGCCCCTGGGTACCTTAGCTGGTTAAGCTTCAGACTCTTGGTTTTGGTTCAGGTCATGATCTCAGGGTTGTGGGATTGAGCCCTGTGTTGAGCTCCTAATGGTGAATGTTCAAAAAGAATAATTAAAAGCACTTAAGGGGCATCTGGGCGCCTCAGTCGGTTGGGTGTTTGCCTTGGGCTCGGGTCATGATCTAAGGGTCCTGGGAATGAACCCCAGGTCAGGCTCCCTGCTTAGTGGGGAGTCTGCTTTTCCCTTTGCCCCTCCCCCTGTCCATGCTCTCTCTCTCTCTCACTCTCTTTCTCTCAAATAAATAAATAAATCTTAAAAACAAAAATAAAAACCACTTAAGCCTTGAGTGGACCACCACCTGTTGTCACTCCCCTTGGAAACTCCCATGCTCTTTCCAGGCCTGTAGAACAATCTTCTTCTTATCCAGAAAAACAGATTTTTCTGCTTAAAATTTTGATCCAACTTTATTTTTTTCAGAAGATTTTATTTATTTATTTGACAGAGAGAGTGAGAGAGAGAACACAAGCAGGCGGAGTGGGAGAGGGAGAAGCAGGCTCCCCCCTGAGCAGGGAGCCCGATGCAGGGCTCAATCCCCAGACCCTGGGACCATGACCGGAGCCAGAGGCAGATGCCCAACGACTGAACCACCCAGGCGCCCCTTGATCCAACTTTAAAGTGCAAACGTTGAAATAAAAGGATGCTTCACAATGGATTTTTTTTAAATAGGTGAAACAAACAAATTACAATCCCTAGGTGTTCCTTCTCCCGCGTGTCCGAGATGGGGCAGCGCTGCCCCTCCTCACAGGACCTCAGAGTGCACAGCGACCACGGGTTTCTTCCGCCTCAACCCCCTGTCTTCCCTGCCACACACCTGCTCTTGGGTACCTCCTGGGTCACAGGCTGAACGCACCCAAAACGCACCTGCAGCAACAGACAGGATAAAGAAATAGTTAGGAGCAGATACCAGCCAGGGGGAGTCTGTCTCTCTGCTCACCTGCCTGGAATCCCGCCAGGCTGAGGGTATCACTGTCTTGGGGACAAACCACAGTTCCAAAGTGAAGATCCTGAAGGCCTCCGTGCTTCCCGTGAGTGCGACGCAGTTCAGCACGAGACAGTGGTTCTTACCGTCCCCACCTTATGCCTTAGCTGCTCCTGACTGCGCTGTGAACACAACCTCTTATCCTAACGCACAGGCCCGGAATACTCCCCAGGGTGGGAAGAAGGTGCCAATGTCTGTGTTCCATCCCTGCCTTAAGTGGAACCTTTTTTTTTTTTTTTTTTGAGATTTTATTTATGTGTTTGACAGAGAGCGCACAAGCAGGGGGAGTGGCAGGCAGTGGGAGAGGGAGAAGCAGGCTCCCCACTGAGCAGGGAGCCCGATGCGGGGCTCGATCCCAGGACCCTGGGACCATGATCTGAGCCGAAGGCAGACGCCCAGTGGACTGACCCGCCCAGGCGTCCCATGTGGGACCTTCTTTACAAAACCGTGTGGCCCACCTGGATGTCTGTGATAAATGACATTATCGTAGAGGTCCTGGGAGCCGCTCCCCTCCACCCCACCTCCGGATTCAGGAGTCAGGCACAAATTCAAACCATTAAGTAAGTCCCAGTGGGCTCGCATTTTCTGGAGCCCCACAGCCATAAACCGCGGCAACAAAGCTCTTCCCAGTTCCTAACTTCAGAGTTGTTTTCTTGTTTTGTCTGTAAGTGTTCACTCCAGAAAACTATCCCCTTCTGGCTCTTTCCTGGGTCTGATGTCCACCAGCTACCAATAAACTGCTAAATGCAATTGTGGGTTTTTCACATGGGGAATGTTGGGCAGAGCATTTCTGTGGTTGTATTATCTGCCTAAAGCCCCAAGCCCTCTGGGTTCACCTTTGGCAGCTAAGTTTGGGCAGGGGAGGTTTCTTCCAGGACCCCACCTGTTTCAGACCCTTTTGGGAACCAGACCCTCGTTCTCTGCTCTGTGTACGGTGTATGGGTGGGAACGGTTCTTGGGGTCTTCACTCGGTGGATGCTGCCCACCTCCCCAAAAGAGGGACGTTGTGAGTTCTGACTACCCTCTGAGTTGTTGCCACCAAAGCAGCGTGTTCTCTTGCTTTTCAAAACCCAGAAAACAAGTCACTGTTTCCTAAATGAAAAGGAGCAAAATTAGCACTGGGAGAGGTCGTGGGAGATGTTTTCCAAGTATCTGAGAGTGCTTGGCAGAATAAAGCAGGAGCACTTATATGTAAAATCCTCTCCATCAGGGCCTGTTTTGAAGTCAGTTCATTGTGCTGGAAAGGAAACTGAAAGAAAGAAATGAAAGAGTTTGACTCTTAAGTCTTTATAAACCCTACAAAAATTCACAGAGCTGTAAAGATGCAAAAGAGCCCATTGGGGGGGGGGCGTGCTGCTGGAGGGGATTGGTGGGCTTGAGGGATTGCCCCCCAAGGCAGAATCTCCTGAGAACTTGAGTAATAGTATGAGCAAAACCCAACCCAGAATCTGGAGGAAGGGGGAATGAATTCTGACCTTTGTGTCTGGGTGTTTCGTGGGGGAACTGAGCCATGCAGGACGGGGCGGGATTTTGTAGAGCAGATCTGGGGACAAAAGCCCTACCAGGCGGGAGAGGTTCAAATTTCCAGAGGGGGCAACAGGGAGGGAGGCACAGGGCGGTGCGTCCTCAAGCAGCAAGCAGCATGATGGCCTCGGCACTTGGGGCAGAGGTAAACGAAATCTGGTATTTTTATCGCTGTTTCTGTATTGTGCTTTACAAGTCTGAGATCTAACATGAACATAAATTTGCTACAAGGTTAGGGGTTTTTTTGTTTGAAATTCAAAGAGACATTTTTATCAGCGACTGCATGTTCGAACAACCGTGGAATGCTTCGACTGAGGAATTCACTCCTCTTCATGGACAGTGTGGGTGTGAGTGGGGGTGAGGCTGTGGGTAGGGGGAGTTTTGGGACCGTGATTTCAGGCTGACACCCCATCTTTACAAAATTAAATGTTTAGCATCCTTTTCATGCCATAATTGGCGATCTCTGGGTCTGTTGAGCACCACCTACCCCTCTGTTTCCAGCTTCTCTCTCTTCTTTGCAGTAAATGCTAGTGAACTAATCTGTGCGCAAAGACACTTTTTGGGGGCATGCAGAAACCAGCAACATCTTTGCAAAAGATTGGTATTTTTAAAAGCCCTAATAAGCTCTTCTCATCAGCTGAATGAATGTTTTGACAGCCTAGTGGTGATCGATGTGTTCTACAGCTTTTAGACAGAGCTGCTGAATTGTAGAGTAACTTCACAGATCAAACCCTAGATGAGAATGTTCTCCATAGAGCTGGCCTGTCCCCAGTGACTGCTCAGGAAAACCCATCCCCTGGGTTTGGCCCAGGCCATCTCCTGTGGGAAGAAACATTGTAGGGCTGAGGGGTTAGACAGGCCTTCATTACCATGGAGCTGGAGGCAAAGGGTTAAGTTTGGGGGTGTCAGATCTTTGAGACTCCCTGAAGACCCCTGCCCAGCCCCTCCCTCTTATTCCTATCTCCCTAGGTGAGAATCTACATAGAATGGTGGAATCGGCCTTGATAGGACCAGAAGACCAGTCACTGCACCAGCCTGGCGCTGACATTCTCTGGAACCTACGACCAGAAGGCCTGAGGCTTGGAGGCCAAAGAGCAAGACCAGCATTTCATCTTGGTCAGCTGCAGGGTCAACTGGATGGCAGGGATAATGCGATGTTTCCAATCTGGGCGTACAGAGAAGGCCAACAGGGCACCTGGCTTAGGTAGGGCTCCCCAGTGCCTTGGGAGCTGGGGTGTGTGGCTGCTTAGAGCCATAATGGGTGGACGCATCAGACAGCTCTTTGGAAGGGTTTGGAAAAGCTGCTCCTTTCTTCAACCTAATGCCTCTGACCCAGGCAGGCTCTCAAGGGGGGTCCGTCCCTACAGAGAGGTCTTGTCTCCCTCTTTGTCAACGACAATTACAAATCAATGATTTAAAAATTTACCGTCCAACCAGGTCACTTCTGAGAGTGACTAGGGGGCATTATGAATAACTACCTTGAGTCAACAGGCATACACGGACATTGTCTCCAACAGGGTCGTCCATCACCCTAATTAGAAGGGAAGAAGAAGGGAAGGAATGTGAATGAGGCCCATTCGTCTCCACCCATGTCAGGCTGTCCTTTGAGCCCCACACATTCCAAGTGACAATGGACACTTCTCTGTTACGGAAGACAATCCCAGGCGCCACTAGGTCCAAAGGTAACAAAAGACAGGGTATTTCCAGCTGCTGTTCCAGAAATGGCATTTAACCTAAGGAGAGCCCTGGCCCCAGCCAGAGCAGGTCATCTTTGCTAAGTCAAGGTTATACTTGTGCAGCCTCGGGAGCCTGACTGTTCTAACGTGTGTGCAGGCACGCGTGGGGCGGCGCGTCTAGATGCCGCGGTCCCTGCTTCCTGCCATCATCATTGCCTTTGTCATAGCACGCAGGGAACACAGGCTTTGACGGGCAAGGTAATCCCAGGCGGTTTAGAACAGGGAAGAAATAACTAGTACCTTCCAGTAACCATCCCATCCCCTTCAATAAGAGGAAGGCAGCCCTGGTAGTGCCGTCTTCCCCCGCGGAGTCTCAAGAGCTAGATGAACATGCAGGAAAATGAGCCTCTGCTTGCAGCGTTGGAGGAAGGAAAAGAGAGTCTAGAAGATCACTTGGCCACCTCTCCTTGGGGGTTATGAGTAAATTGCAGGCTTCTGTCCTACCCTGGAATAAACAGCTTCCTTTTTTTGTTGTTGTTTTTTTAAGATTATTTGTTTATCGAGAGAGAGAGAGAGAGAGAGAGAGTGTGTGTGTGTGTGTGTGTGTGTGCAAGAGTCGGGGAGGGGCAGAGGGAGAGAGAATCTTAAGCAGACTCTATGCCAAGTGCGGAGCCCGATCTCACAACCCCAAGATCATGACCTGAGCTGAAATCAAGAGTCAGATGCTCAACCGACTGAGCCACTTAGGCGCCCCAAACAGCTGCTTCTTTCAGGAGGTGAAACGATGAGGCTCATGTCAGTGCATTAGCGGGAGGAAAAGCTCGCAACAGAGCCCGTACCCTGTGGGAGAGCAGACTGGGCTGTTGGCAGGGATGCCAGCTCCCTGGCAGGACAGGAAGCAGCCCTTCTTTTATCCACCTGCAGAATGAAGGAGTATTTGATGAAATCATTCATGCTGAGTGATTGGAATATCATCTACAAGTGCAGGTCATTAACGACATCATCCGTAAGAAGAGGGCCAGTCTGGCTTGTCCTGAGGGACCCTTCCCCGGTAGTGGTTCATCCTTCTGCTATGTGTGTGATCCCTGGATGACATCAGCCAACTGTGCTCACACCTGCTGGGCCCCCTTGCTCCGGTGCAAAGGCAGGATTATTAGACAAATTCGAGGCTGCACAGACACGTTCTGATCCCATGCCAGAGAAGAGGCCTTAGAAAAAACAGGAACAGTTTCAGGAACGTGACTGTGGGGACTTTTCCCAGGCCTCACTGACCCTCGGGCTACATTTGCCCCTTACTGACAATATTTTCTTTTATTACACCAAAAACAATTTCAGCTCATTTGTTACCCTGCCTGAGAGTTCATCAACTGGAGATTAGAATAGACAAGCACAGGGAGGGGGAAGTCTCCCTAGACTCCCTTAGGGTCCCTGGCTAGGTCTGAAAATGAAACTGACAAAGACAGTCACAGGAGAAAAACATACACGATTATTTAATAGACATTTTCTGGGACATGGGAGCTGTCATAAGGAAGTGAAGAGTTGAAGAAACAGTTAGATCTGAGTTGTTGTTTTTTTAAGATTTGATTTTTAAATAATCTCCATCCCCAACGTGGGGCTTGAACTCACGACCCTCAGATCAAGAGTTGCACGCTCCACCAATCGAGCCAGCCGGGCGCCGCAAACCTGAACATTTTTGTATGGGGTTTGATGCTGAGTGGACGGTCGTGGAGGAATGTGATAGGTCGAAGAACCTGAGGTAAGAGGTGGTAAACTGGGGTAAGCTCAGCAAGGTCTGTTGGTTGGGATTCCTCCTGGCATCCCCCTGTCACTGGAGGTAAGGATGCTCCTTTGCCCCGGGTGTAGGGAGGGCACCTCTCATGGCAAAATTTTATGACCTGTATCAGGGGAGAAGCCAGGGAAGGTGGGAGTGGACTTTCTGCTTCTGCTGTTTTCTCAGATCCCTTCGGTGTGCACTATTTAATGTGCCAAGGTGCCATATTTGGGGGTAGTATGTCCTGAACCCCATCCCGAGCATGTTCTTAAAAGTGTGAAAGGTGAAGGACCCATCAAAACCTGTGCCCCTAGGACTGGCCTGATCGATCTCCTTGTTTTGCCTCTCGCATCCAAGCTCAGCTAGGGTCGAACTGGATCACGTCCCGATACCATCTCCAATGGACCAGGACACAGGTGCGAGACTTCCAAGCGTGTATCCTTGATCTACTCCCCGCCATACTCTGAGGCTGCCCCAAGGGTTTTGAACCTTCTCTCCACACTCTGTACTCAGATTTCCAGATCGTAGGTATCCCCTTTCCAAGGTAGACACGTAAACCCCGCTGGGGCTCAGAGGTGTGATTTAGATTCAACTAATTGCGTGCTCCAGCAGGAGACTTTGATTCGGAACCGGCTTGTGTGGAGGCAGGGGACAGGGCATCGTTTTGTTGGCATGGATTGTTGGCAGAGCCAGCCGGGTTCTGGAGGCGGGAGCCAAGGCAGCAACATCCTGACTTGGCAGTTTCCTAATCCCGGGGAGGTGCAGCCGGGAGCTGGTTCTTCGGTGTGACTCGGGGCATCAGTTGTTCCTGGAAGCCTGCCCAGTGCCTGCATCTCCGGCCGTCTCAACAGTTCTGTGAGCTTTCCGCCCCTTCAGAAATCCCTTAGGCTTGAATCAGCCATAGCAGATCCTGTTGTCTGCAACTAAGAACCCCCGGCTGATGCAGAGGGAGCAAGACAGCAGAGGGCAGGGAAAAGGATGTTCAGCATATGGTAGAAGAGTCAAGAAAGAGATATAGGAAATTGACAAGTATTTTGAATAATGGTCATACCCTGCACATTATCTCCAACCTTTACAACAACTCTGTTAGGCATTATTATTCCTGTTTTACAGATGAGCACATAGTCTCAGAATGGTTAAGGGACCTGCCCAAGGCCACACAGCCTTCAACTGTGACTCAGGAATTTGAACCCAGATCCTTTTGCTCAAAGCCCAGGATCTCTCCACTCTGTTACTCTGCCCAGGACAGCCCTGCGTGCAGAAGGGAGTGGAAGCTCCTGTCCCGTTCTGTTTCCTCTTCTTGACTTCCCCTTCTCCCACCCCCATCTGAGGCACACTACAGTTTATGTATGTACTGGCATTCATCAGTCAGGAGCAGAGCATACCTCAGAAAACACCGCAAAGTGTCCACCACTGAGGTGACGGTGGGGCGGGGAGGGTTCCCCAGCAGCTTTTTCCTTTCTGCATAAGACAATTGCACTGTTGGAATTTTTTTACAGGAAGCAAGTGTATTACTTATGTAATGTAGACATCAAAATTAGCACTGCCGAAGAGTGATGGAAAAGCACCAAGACATAAATTGTGGTTATTATGGCATGGTGGATTATAGGTGATTTTTATTTTCTTCTTTATGTGTTTCTGCATTTAACCATATTTCTAAAATGAGGATGTGCTCAGGTTGCTTTTAGCCACAAGGAACAGAAAAAACCCTTCGTCAAACTGGATTGCCCAATGAGGACGCTGATGGGTTCCCAGGCCTCGATGTCTTGCAGACGTGTGACAAGGGCATGTCACCAAAGACTCCATCTGCTTCTTCCTCCTCTCTTCTCTGTGGCCCCAGCATCCTCCCCAGCGAACGCTGGCTCCCCTCTTGCACACAGTACCCTGGAGCTGTCCCAGGAGAGACCTGGCACAACGGTGTCCGCACACAGAAATAGGGGATTTCTATTCAGGTGTCTCCTCTCTCAGAGTGCTGGGACCCTTCCAGAGCCTCCTGGCAGACTCCCCTGCAGGCGTCACTGGTCAGAACTGGGTGACACGCTCACTCCTAAATTAGTCCCCGGCAGGAGGGAGGCCTTAGCCGCACCTGGTGCACCTGCTGGAGCTGGGGCAGCACCCAGCTTCCCCAGGAGCCCCGGAATATGGACAAGAGCAAATGCCTGAACAAAGGCGGCCTTTAGGAGTGAAGACTTGGGGATGTGGGTGCCATGTGGAGAGTCTCCTAGGGCAGATATTTATTTGAATATTTAAAACATTACATTAATTTTTAAAAATTTAAAATTACCCTTGTGTGGTTGGACCTGCTGTTGAGGGCTTTGGTGGGAACTGTGTTGCTGGATCTACTCTGTTTATGAAATCTGGCTGCTCCTAATGGAAGATAATCATGGCCTCAGCAGCAACAAAAACCCCGTGCTGTTTCTGCTCCAGGATATTGTTTTATCTCTGGGAACATCGGGAACTGAACAGGGCCCACCTGGCAGTCGTGGGGTCCGAAATGCTGTAGGTGCATCTGTCACTTGGGTCACGTGAGCCAGACCACTGATGGGGGCTGCCAGGCTCGGCTAAGAAGGTTCCTGACTCAGGGTGTCAAGGCTCAACATTAAGTTTTGTCCTTGGCCATGAAGACTGCTAAGCTTTCACAAAACATTATTTGATGCAGGCTTCTTCAACGTTAAAGGCTTGGTCAAGATGAATGAAGGGGTCTTGGAAGTGCTCCAGGTCCCAGTGTTGCAAATCTGAGCGTGAGGGTCGAGGTAGCAGAAGCCACTTGGAGGCCCCTCGGGTTTTCCTGAGTCCATAAACTTCCTCAGGGTTGTTTTTTTGTTTTTGTTTTTGTTTTCAACTGAGTCTGAACCAACTGCCGGGAAATCATTGTTTCCTTTCAACTTGCAGAGTTGCTCAACTGTTTAAAGCGAGAATTGCATAAGTTAAGCCAGTGGGTTCAACGACTTCCATCAGACAAGAAGCTTTACTCCACATTGAGATTCGAATTGTCCTCCAAGTCTTTGCTTCTAGGACATAAGAATAAGTGGACTTATTTTTTTATTTTTCTATAAGTTAAAAAAAACATTTTTAAAAGTAATCTCTACACCCAGTATGGGCCTCGAACTCACAACCCCGAGATCAAGAGTCGCATGCTCTCCTGACTGAGCCAGCCGGGCGCCCCGCTTTTCCTTTTCTTTAAATTCACTTATTCTTGGGGTGCCCGATTGACTTAGTTTGGAGAACATGCGACTTCTGATCTCGGGGTTGTGAGTTTGAGCCCCACGCTGGGTAGAGATTACTAAAAAAAAAGGGGGGGGATGAAAGGAAAAGAAAGAAACTTCCCTATTATTTTCGCCAAGTTATGGGTACCTTTAACTTCGCTCAGCATTCTAAAACTCAGCATAATCCCTCGCTTGCAAAGCTGTGGAGCTTTTCTTGCCTCCATCATGTCATGTGCTAGGCACCCAAGGAGCCCCACGATTACAAATCTCAGAACAACAGACGGTTGGGAGAATAAATGGAACATTAAAAAGTCATACAGGATCTTGCCACTTGTTATTTAAAGAATTTCTAAGTCAAGACAGTTTGAACTGCTACTCAGGGCCCATATGGAAAGTCTTGAAGGCCAGAGATGTTCTTGGTTCGCTTGCTTGGCAGAATGTCCGAGGACGTCCCGCACCCACATCCATCAGGTGTTTGCGCACCTGGCATCCCCACGCCTTATGTGCTTATGGCTCATGGGCTTTTCACCATGACACCTGGGCATACACAGC